TTGTTGACTTCGATTGCCTCAGCAATAGATGTAGCACCGGCATCACTAATACGATTCTCAGACAAATCCAAATGGGTTAGGGTGCTGTTGACTTTGAGTTTCTCAGCAATATATGTAGCACCGGCATCACTTATATCACTCTTTGGCAAATCCAAATGGGTTACAGCGTTGTTGACTTTGCTTGCATCAGCAACAGATGTACCACCGGCGTTACTAATACCATTGCCGACCAAATTCAAATTGCTTAGCATTTTGTTGACTTTGATTGCCTTAGCAATAAGTGTAGCAACAGCATTATAAACAGGATTGCGAGACAAATCGAAATGGGTTAGCGTGTAGTTTTCTTTGATTGCCTCAGCAATAGATATACCACCGGTATCACTAATACGATTCGCAGACAAATTCAAATTGGTTAGCGTCTTGTTGACTTTGATTGCCTCAGCAAATGATGTAGCACCGGCATGACTAATAAGATTTTCAGACAAATTCAAATTGGTTAGCGCGTTGTTGACTTTCATTGCCTCCGCAATAGATGTACCACCGGCGTTACTAATACCATTGCCAACCAAATTCAAATTGCTAAGCATTTTGTTGACTTTGATTGCGTTAGCAATAAATGTAGCAATAGCATTATTATGGAAATTGTAAGACAAATCCAAATGGGTTAGCGTGTTATTGACTTTGATTGCCTCAGCAATAGATGTAGCAATGGCATTATTATGGAAAGTGTAAGACAAATCCAAATGGGTTAGCGTATTGTTGTCTTTGATTGCCTTAGCAATAGATTTACCACCTGCGTCACCAAAATTATTGTGAGACAAATTCAAATTGGTTAGCGTCTTGTTGTCTTTGATTGCCTCAGCAATAAATGTAGCACCGACGTCACCACACTTAGTGCGAGACAAATTCAAATTGGTTAGCGCCTTGTTGACTTTGATTGCCTCAGCAATAGATGTAGCACTGGCGTCACCACAACAATTCATAGACAAATTCAAATTGGTTAGCGTGTTGTTGACTTTGATTGCCTCAGCAATAGATGTAGCACCGGCATCACCAATACGATTCTGGGACAAATCCAAATGGGTTAGCCCCTTGTTGACTTTGATTGCCTCAGCAATAGATGCAGCACCGGCACCAGTAATAAAATTCTCAGATAAATCCAACTTGGTTAGTGTATTGTTGACTTTGAGTTTCTCAGCAATATATGTAGCACAGGCATCGCTAATATCACTCTTTGGCAAATCCAAATGGGTTGGCGCCTTGTTGACTTTGCTTGCGTCAGCAATAGATGTACCACCGGCGTTACTAATACCATTGCCAACCATATTCAAATTGCTAAGCATGTTGTTGATTTTGATTGCCTCAGCAATAGATGTAGCTTCATCCTCACCGACATAATTGTGAGACAAATCCAAATGGGTTAGCGTGAAGTTTTGCTGGATTGCCCTAGCAATATATAGACCGCCGGCGAAATTAAAATTATTGCGAGACAAATTCAAATTGGTTAGCGCCTTGTTGACTTTAATTGCTCTAGCAATAGATAAAACACCGGCATCACTAATGCGATTCTCAGACAAATTCAAATTGGTTAGCGTCTTGTTGACTTTGATTGCTTCGGCAATAGATGTAGCACCCGCATCACTAATACGGTTCTCAGACAAATCCAAATTGGTTAGCGTGTTGTTGACTTTGATTGCCTCAGCAACAGATGTAGCACCGGCATCACTAATATCACTGTTTGACAAATCCAAATGGGTTAGCTTGTTGTTGACTTTTATTGCCTCAGCAATGGATGTAACACCAGCATTACTAATACCACTGAAAGACAAATCTAAGTTGGTTGGCGTCTTGTTGGCTTTGATTGCTTCAGCAATAGATGTAGCAACGGCATCACTATAACGATTGTCAGACAAATTCAAATTGGTTAACGTCTTGCTGACTTTGAGTGCCTCAGCAATAGATGTACCGCCGGCATCACTAATACCAATGCGGCACAAGCAAAAGCAGCAATACCATTGTTGAAGGCCTAAATGTTATAACTGTCCTAAATGTAATGACATTTGGTCCTAAATAAAGGAAGCCTCCAATGCAAGTGTTCAACTTCGTCAGTGCATTGTTGTTATGGCGGACATCCACATAGAGATGTTAAAGTGACAGCTGTTGCACCAAAAAACCCTTTGACCAGTATTCATGTCACATTGCGGGTTCGCTGATATCAATCAGCGTCTTCTTATTAGCCGGACTTAAGTGGAGAAGCATTGGCTGCAAACCGTTATACTGATGAACAATTGGCATCAAATGAAAGCTAGCAAAACAATGAGTACGCTGACCAATACCTCTCCATGTATCACTGGTTCAGATTCTTAAGTACAATAGATTTTGGAAAAATGTGATAACGTAATACTTGTGTGATCAGTGATGGAGTTAACCGGTCATAAACCAAATTACAAACTTGGACAAGGGATTCCGCCGAATTGTAGGTCAGACAACTTGCAGGCTCCGATATACATTTTTTAACCTGGGATATTGCATTTCTAACCCTCTATGGTTTCGCTCCACCTCGGTAATCAGTTCATGTACCTCATAACTATAAGTGGACACTGTTGAGCTTTCTTTTTTCATTTTTTCCCCCAAGCCCGGGATTTTTCTGACGTAAAGGTCAGTGGACTTCCTTTTCCTTGAAATTGCATATAAGTATATCATCAGAATCTGTTGCACTAAAGAGTCTGAGCCAATAATATAAAGAGAGGTATTGGTCACCGTACTCATTGTTTTGCCAGCTTTGAGAATCAATGTGAATGTCCGCTAGAACAACAATGCACTAGAGCAGTTAAGCAATTTAATTAGAGGCTTATTGCATTTAGGACCAAATATTATTATATTTATGACAGTTATTACATTTAGGCCCTCAACATACCAACGCTATTCTGCCAACATCACACACAATTAGAAAACTCTTTGCCTTTGAAAACAATTTCAAGTTCCCTATCGCAAGATCGCATACAGAGTAGAACTTTGATCACGTGGAAATTCAACTGGGAATCCATGTACACAGATTGAACAAAGGGACGTCATAGGTCACGTGTGCAAACTGGACGACTACAAACCTTGAGTTGAATTTTCTTCTTTTAAGAGGTGGCGTGTAAGAAGGGGATGATGTCATAATTTCTGAAAAAGAGACACGGCACAATCAATATCGAACCGTAAAATGGTGTGAGAAGCGCACTATAAAGAATCAGTATTTTCTAACTTTCTTCATTCTTTACAATATATCATTAAGGATTGATTGCCAGACTGATACGTTACGTCTGCAGCAGAGGTGCACGTGGTTAAAATATGCAATAGTAGACACGATCTACAGATAATATGTGTATGTGAGTCCATTTGTCGATATTTACTGAAATTAGCAAACTATGTATAATCAAAGAGAAGTTGTCAGGATCTTTTTTTTTCCAAACAACGGTAGTTACGTAACAGTGAGAATAAATGAAGCGATAAAAATTTGCATCGGACTGAATTAACTCTGGTGTATTAACAATTTGATTCTTGCTACTGAATGTATGACTTGAAGCAAAAACTGATTGTTGCCTGTTAAAGTCACACGAGAATTAGCCATTTCTCGCAAAAGGATCTTGTTTTTCAAACCAGATATTTTTAAAGTTGAATTGGAAGGTAGGTAGCTTTGAATCACCATTATTTTCCATACTTTTCTCCCAGATATCTTTTACAAGCTTAAAGAAAGATGAATATAACTCAGTGATTTACACTAAGTTCCATGAACTAACATTATTAATAAGAACTGTTCGACTGACAGAAAGGAAAATTGCAAATTGGATCTGGGAGTTAACGGGTTAAGGCTGTAATTGTTGCTATTGAACAGTGTAATGAACTGAAGAAAGCTTTGGAACAATCTGAAAGACATACACGACATAAGGCTGTTTCGCTTGATCATGCCGAAAAGGGTTTGTTGGGAAATAATTGAACCTATAAGAGGAATCCTATAATGGTAAAACCTTCAGATATTTCAATTCATGGATACTGCATGTGTTTGCTATTTTTAGAACACAGCAGGTTGAACTGGGAACTGAGGAAGTCTAATATGTAAATAGGTCATTCGACAAATTGCTTAGGAAAACGTTGATAGTTTTTCTGGAAACTTAGTTTCGAATTGACTGTTGCATAATTTCACATGAGCAGTCTAGTAAGAGGTTCCTATTACTAGTAAAGTAAAGCTATATGCTAAGGCACTTAGAAAGATTGCTTTGAGATTAGAGTTTAAATGCTCAATAGCCTATTTAGTGCACACTAAACCTCATTTGCCATTTTCTTCCCATCCCACCCTCAATGGCTATTTGTTATGGAAATCTTCCCTATCTTTTGGGTTTTCTGTATATGAAAGCCTCTCTGTTAATATTATGTTTTTAGCACTAATTGGATTTATCAGCTCATATGCATTAAATATAAGAATCAGATTTTGTGGAAAATTAGTTAATCATATAAAGAATGAATGATTTGTCCCAAACATTGCTTGTAGTCAAATAATATATGGTTTATCAGATTGAATTGAAAGGCACAATAATTTTGCTGAAAAAATATCATCGATAATTAATGCCTAACTCGAGTTCTCGGAAAACGTGTTATTGAATTAGAGAAGGCAAGTCATTCTCTAGCAACGGAAATCGAACTGTGAGGAATGGGTTTCGCTTTCAGTTTCCTGTCGCCCACGAAAATAGTAACTTCCGCCTTGACTGATATGCATTACGTGTTCCAGTCTTCACAAAAGCATTTTCCTGTCCCCCTAATCTAGATCAGTAAAGACTGCTAGAAGTAAAACAGCTGGTCTGAGTACAAAACAGACCCTTACTTAAGTATGAAATTCAAATAAAGTGACCTTTTAGTGCGCATCGATTCATAATTCATAGTTCTACTTACCCCTCTTATGATCTTCTCGTGAACGGTGTTTCAAACGAAATAATTACACCCGGAGCTCGTGAAGAGGCTGCACAATCGTCCTGAAAAAAGAAAAAAAGTAGCTTATTTATGAAGTATATCTTCATCATACGCTTATTTTCAAAGGCTTGTGTTAAAATTTTCGTAATCATACGCATTTACGCGAGAGAAATACCGTAAGTCAACAACGGGTTGTTGAAGTTAAAGTTAAAGTTACGGAGTGAATAACTCCACTATTACTTGTATGTGAGTCACACCTGTCAAAATTTTCCTGAAACCAGCAAACTGTGTACAATCAGACAGAAGTTTTTCAGGATCTTTTCTTTTCCAAACAGCGGTTGGTGCGTAACAGTGAGAATAAATGAAGCAATAAAAATTTGAATCAGACTTATTTAACTGTGGTGTATGTACAATTTAAGTCTTCCTACTGAATGTACGACTTAAAGCAGAAAATTATTTTCCCTGAAAAATTAGCCATTTCTCGCCAAAGGATCCTGTTTTTCAAACCAGATATTTTTAAAGTTGAACTGTATTTAGCATTTTAGACGATCAGCACTGTGGAAAGTATTTTTGCATGACCATTTGGGCAGAACCACACAAAGCTAACAAAAATGAGAACATCACAGTTTTTGCATATCGTAAAGCTCCAAGATTAATCCTTCATGCATTTCATCTTTACCTCATGTCAATATTTTAGTTGATTATTGTCTCTCTTGTACTTTACCAGCTTTCTTATCAAATATATCTTGTTGAATCCGACAAGTTTAGGATGATTAGGCACGGCATGTTTCAAAACTTTGCTATACTGCTTCTTCAAATATGATGCGGCTGATTGCCGACAAAATGCGCTATTTGTTGAGTTCTCAAAAGCACCAGAATAAAGATAAATAACGAATACTATAAATCCTACGATGAACCAGGACTACGAGAAAATATCTTTTTGAAAAACAAGTCTTTATTGCGATACGCAAAGATTGTGTCAAGATTGAGACATAGAAAATCTTACTTTCATTTTCGCTTCGTAGGTTTCAAATGAACGAGTTCTCTTGCTGAAGACATAGTAAAACGTTTACTGATCCAGTGGTCTCAAAATGAACAACTCGGCGGGGAAGTTGAAAACGGAGATCTCGATCCAGTTGTATTCACGATCACAACTCAAATGCCTCTCAAGTTCTTTGTCCACTATTGTTTTAAATGAACTATGAAAGTTTTTTATGAACTACTCAGTCAATATGTGTGGTATCAAAAATAGAGCGACCCTTTTTTCTGTTTGCTCATCAATAGACAACAGGTCGTTAGTCACGAAGAAATTTCTGCGATATATATGTGCATATTTTCAAAGCAAGCATAAGTTCATCCGTCTGGTGGAAACTGAGAAAGTT